TATATAATTTCATTTGTACTGATACAGGTATTTTTCGGCATGATATAATACTAGCATGTGTGTGTGTGTATGTATGTATATATGTATATATATATATATATATATATATATATATATATATATATATATATATATATATATATATATATATATATATTTTTTTTTTTTTTTTTTTTTTTTTTTTTTCTTTTTTTTTTTTAGCAAATGTTTCCTTATCGACATTAGCGTATAATATGAAACTTGTAGAGGGTGAACGCTAATTACCGTTACACAGATACCCGTTTTTTCATGTAAAACAGCAGATTTACTGATTATCGCATTGACTCGTGCGCCTGTCTGTGCAAGTACTCTGGATTTCATTAACTTTTATGACGCGTATAGAAGACAAGATTATATATATATATATATATATATATATATATATATATATATATATATATATATATATATATATATATATATATATATATATATATATATAGTGGCGAATTATAGATGAAAATTTAGAAATAAAGCCTGATACATCCTGGGAGTAATGTGCGTATTAATTGATAACTATATATATATATATGTATATATATATATATATATATATATATATATATATATATATATATATATATATATATATACATATATATATAGTTATCAATTAATACGCACATTATATATATATATATATATATATATATATATATATATATATATATATATATATATACATATATATATATAGTTATCAATTAATACGCACATTACTCCCAGAATGTATCAGGCTTTATTTCTAAACTTTCATCTATAATTCGCCACGCTTCATTTTCCTTTCTTTCATCGATATTTATCAGATATTCGTTTCACTTCCCAAGAATTAAAAAAAATGAAAAAAAAACACAAGCTAACTCACTTACATTTACAGAGTTGGGTCATCATAACAGCGTTCTTGGTTGCCTCATCACTATGGCTGTGGATGTTTTGGTTTTCCATGAGTCACGACACACCGCTATGTCCTCAGTCCATCCGTATAATTAATAAGCGCGAAAGCTCGTCATTGGCTGGATTTGCTTCTATTTTATTCCTTGTATTACGTACTGCAGTATATCAAGGTAAGTGTTCCGTGAATATAGTGTATACAAATTGAATGTTGTGAGCGTGTGCCACTGACTGTGAGAATGTACGTGTGGCATGTAGGTGCATTTTCGTTTATTTGTGCAATATGGAAGATGCATGTGCTTGGGATTCTAACTGAACACGGAACAAAGAGATTTTAGATGACAGGTTGGCGATGGTTGGTGACAAGGTGACAGACTGTTGGTGATGATTACCCGAAACACATTTTTTCGGACAGTTATATAATTCATTGCAAATCTCATCAGTCCACATTCAACTTGATTAAAATTATATATATATTATATAATATATAAATAGTATATATATATTACATAATATATATATATAGTATAACATAGTATATATATGTTACACACTCCTCACTCCTCCATTCGCCAGCATCCTATCTCTTCCATCTCTCAAGGATCACGCCAGCCTCCGACCAGCTCTCCAGGACGAGTGGTGTACGTGTGCATTTGGGCGGTGGTGATCATTCTGTTTGCAATCTACAGCGGGAATCTCACGGCATTCCTCTCCAAGCCGAGGGTTACTAAGCCCCCTGCCACGATAAGGGAGCTGGTTCTGCGCGACTGGACCATCTCTCTCGACAAGGCTTACGGAGCGCACGACATCGTCAAGGTCTGTCTGTTTTTCTATTTTCTGTTTTCTTTTGTTATTATTATTATCATTATTAGTTTCTTTTTCTCTTGGCTTTCCATGGCTGTCTCTCTTAGGCTCTGGCTGTTTCTCCGTTTTCTCCTCGCTTCTCTCTCTCTATTTCTCTATCTCTTTATTTCTCTCTTCCCTTCCTTTCCTTTCTTATCTCTGTCTTCCCCTCTCTCTCACTCTCTCTCCCTTCCCTTCCTCCCCCCCTTCTCTCTCTCTCTCTCTCTCCCCTCCTCTCTCTCTCTTTTTCCTTTCCTCTCTCTCTCATTCTGTGTGTATGACGTGCGTGCGCGAGTGCACCACTTACGCCCTCATTAATTCACGTCAAAAATATCAGTGTCCCCTTCAATTCTAATGAGTATTAAATAATAAAACTACATATATCTAATCAACCCTTATCAACCCATAAAACATTTATATACCTGTATCCCCTGAACTTTGTTTACCCACATTTTAAAACCTGTACCCTTTACCCACATTTATACACCTGTAAAATACACCTGTAAGAAGAATTACGCCCTCACGCCCTTTCCAACGTTTATATACCTGTATCCCCTCACACCTTTATCGACATTTATGAAACTGACTCGCCTCATACTTTTACTAAACGTTTATAAACCTGTTTCGCCTCGCACCTTTTTACCGACATCTTAAAACCTGTTTACCCTCACAAATTTACCGACATTTTCATACACCTGTTTACCCTGACACTCTTTCCAACATTTTTACACCTGTTTCCCCTCACACCTTTACCGACATTTGTATACACCTGTTTCCTCACACCTTTACCGAAATTTTTATACACCTGTTTCCCCTCACACCTTTACCGACATTTTTAAACACCTGTTTCCCCTCACACCTTTACCGATATTTTTATACACCTGTTTCCCCTCACACCTTTACCGACATTTTTATACACCTGTTTCCCCTCACACCTTTACCGACATTTTTATATACCTGTTTCCCCTCACACCTTTACCGACATTTGTATACACCTGTTTCCCCTCACACCTTTACCGACATTTTTATACACCTGTTTACCCTGACACTCTTTCCAACATTTTTACACCTGTTTCCCCTAACACCTTTACCGACATTTTTATACACCAGTTTCCCCTCACACCTTTACCGATATTTTTATACACCTGTTTCCCCTCACACCTTTACCGATATTTTTATACACCTGTTTCCCCTCACATTTTTACCAACATTTTTATACACCTGTTTCCCCTCACACCTTTACCGACATTTTTATACACCAGTTTCCCCTCACACCTTTACCGATATTTTTATACACCTGTTTCCCCTAACACCTTTACCGATATTTTTATGCACCTGTTTCCCCTCACACCTTTACCGACATTTTTATACACCTGTTTCCCCTCACACCTTTGCCGATATTTTTATACACCTGTTTCCCCTCACACCTTTACCGACATTTTTATACACCTGTTTCCCCTCACACCTTTACCGACATTTTTATACACCTGTTTCCCCTCACACCTTTGCCGATATTTTTATACACCTGTTTCCCCTCACACCTTTACCGACATTTTTATACACCAGTTTCCCCTCACACCTTTACCGATATTTTTATACACCTGTTTCCCCTCACACCTTTACTGATATTTTTATACACCTGTTTCCCCTCACACCTTTAAAGATATTTTTATAGACCAGTATCCCCTCTAAACTCTATTTATAGACCTGTATCTCCAATTGATAAACAACTATTATCTGTATGCTTTGCTTGCAGGCGACGAAAACAGAGGACTATCAGATTCTGTACCAAAGGGCGAATGAGCGCGGCGCCATTAGGGAGAACGAGGGAGCTCAGGGAGAAAGTCGCACAGACGTCTCCGAGTTGGAAAATGAAGATATTGCGATTGTCAGTACGTCATGTTTGCCCTTTTTTTATAACTCTCTCTGTCTCTTTTGTCTTATTGTTTTTTTTTTTTTTTTTTTTTTTTTTTTTTTTTTTTTTTTTTTTTTTTTTTTGCTTCCTTCCCCCCTTTTTTCTCTCTGTTTTAATGTTCTTCTGATTTATTTCTGTGTGATTGTATATTTACGTATTATTTCTATTGGTCGGTGGGTCAGTTTCTCTCTCTTTTTCTTTGCTCTCCTTCCCTTCCTTCTCACTCCCTCTCTTCCCCTCCCTCTCTCTAACTCCCACCCCCACTCTTCCTCCCATTCCCTTCCTCTCCCCCTCCCTTACAACCTCCCCCTCCCACCCTCTCCTTCCCCTTCCCCATCCCCTTCTTCCTCCCTCTCTCTCTCCTTCCCCCTCCCTCTCCTTCCCCTTCCCCGTCTTCCTCCCTTTCTCCCTCCCTCTCCCTCTCCTTCCCCTTTCCCTTCTTCCTCCCTCTCTCTCCCCCCCCCCCAGTCCCTTCCACCCTCTCCCTCCCTCTCCCTCCCTCCCTCCCTCCCTCCCTCCCTCCCTCTCCTTCCCCTTCCCCTTCCCCTTCCCCTTCTTCCTCCCTCTCTCCTCCCCCCCCCGTCCCTTCCACCCTCTTCCTCTCTCTCCCTCTCTCCCTCCCTCCCTCTCCTTCCCTCGCCCCTTCTCTCTCTCTCTCTCTCTCTCTCTCTCTCTCTCTCTCTCTCTCTCTCTCTCTCTCTCTCTCTCTCTCTCTCTCTCTTCCTTCCTCCCTCCCTCTCTCTCTCTCTATTTCTCTCTCTCTCTCTCTCTCTCTCTCTCTCTCTCTCTCTCTCTCTCTCTCTCTCTCTCTCTCTCTCCCCCTTCCTCCCTCTCTCTCTCTCTCTCTCTCTCTCTCTCTCTCTCTCTCTCTCTCTCTCTCTCTCTCTCTCTCTCTCTCTCTCTCTCTCTCTCTCTCTCTCCCTTCCTCCCTCTTTCTCTCTCTCTCTCTCTCAATCCCAACCCTAACCTCCCTCTCCATTGACAGTGGGAGCAACGGGCGCCTACTACATGATGAACAAAAACAAAGCAGAGGACCGGCGCTGCAGACTCACGTACGGCACGGAAGCGATCGCCAAGAAATTCTCCGCTCTGGCCCTTCCCAAGATGTCACTGTTGAAGCCGATATTTGACCGGAAGTAATGTTGTTCGCTGTGTCTGTGATTGTGTGCTGGTCATTTTGATTTATTTATTATTATTTCATTTATTTATGTGTCTATTGTTATTTCATTTATTTATTTCATTTATTTGTTTATTTATTATTTCAATTATTCGTTTATTATTTCATTTATTTATTTATTTACTTATTATTTCATTTATTCATTTATTATTATTTCGTTTATTCATTTATTATTATTTCGTTTATTCATTTATTATTATTTCATTTATTCATTTATTATTATTTCATTTATTCATTTATTCATTATTATTTCATTTATTTATTTATTATTATTTCATTTGTTCATTTATTATTATTTCATTTATTTATTTATTTACTTATTTATTTATCTGCTGTTTATTTAATGATTACTGTTATTGTTGTTATATATGTTTAATTTGATAAATTTGGTATTATTATTTGTTGTTGTCTTTTTCAGTTATCATTATCATTTCATCATCATTGTTACTGTGAAGTTATCGTTATTGTACATGTTGGTATTATTGCAATTCCTTTTAAATGTTACCGTTATCACTATCATCATTAGTAGCAGTTTCAGTAATGTTGATAGTAGTCCTTTTGTTATAAATAATCATTATCATTATTAGAGAAAAAAAAATTAAAATGAAGAAAAACACACAAACAGACGGGCAAACAAACAGAGAAAGACAGACACAGACGGACGAACAAACAAACAAACGAACAGACAAACAAACAACCAGACCAACAAACAAACACAGACAGACAGACAATCAGACAGACAACCAGACACAGAGAAGTCAACCCTAGCCCATAACTACTTATCACGTTCCTCACTCAGGATAATGTGGATGCGACAAATGGGTGTCGTTGGGAAACTCTATGATAGTTCCTTCGGCGTTAAGTGTTTTCGCGAAGATTTGAATTCTGGCAAACTGAAGCCCATGGCACTTGGACAGGTAATGCTGCCGTTTTGTTGGCACTATTTTATTTATTTATTTATTTTTTTTTTTTTCTCCCTTTTCCTTGGCGTTTGTCGGTAAATTTTCCCTTTGTTGATATTTCTGTTTGTCGATAATTCTGTTTTTTTGTCGGTACTTATATCAAATGCTTATATTACTTATATTAACTTAAATGTTTATATTACTTATATTAACTTAAATGTATTGTTATTATCATTCTTTTTTTTTTTTTTGCCTTTTTCCTTATCGTTTACCGGTAAATTTGGCTTTCGTCGGTAGTATTTTTGAGTTTTGAAAGTATTTCTTGTCTTTTGTCAGCAATTCTGTTGTTTGTTAATATAGCTACTTATCATTATTTTATTATTGATTTATTGAAATTTCTAGCTATATTTAAGTCAACTGTTGATTTACATTTTTTTTTTTTTTTACTTCTATATATACTATGTTGATTAAATCCTTCTTTAAAGATATATTTTTAGTTTATATAACGATCAGGGTACGATGTGTATATATATATTAGTTCTTTACACTATATTTCGCTTTATCCAGGATTCCTTTAAATTTCATTCATTGTGTAAAATCACCGATAGCTATCCTTACTAATAAACACTAATTCCACTTGGTTTTAAAATTACATCTTCCAACACTCCAACGAATGCGTCCGAATCCGATGATCGACTTCGGCTTAACAAACCAACGCGTCGACCCCTTCTTCCATCCACTTCTCGACGCTCACCAACCAACCCGAACACCAACGTCAGCTGATCGGTGTCCTCTACATGTGGCTCGGTGGAATGATCGTGGCTTCGTTGGTGTTCGTGTTTGAGGTCTATTTGCCCAAGCGCTGAGGGTTAAAACGTGTGTTCGAAGGCGTGTGTGGGGCGTGAGAAAGAGGGAAGGAAGGAAAGGGAGGGGGGTAGGGAGGGTGGATGAGAGAGAAAAAGGGTGGAGAGTGAGGGAGAGAGGGAGGAGGGGAGAGTGAGAGAGAGAGAGGAAGGAGGGGAGAGTGAGAGAGAAAAGAGAGAGAGGAGAGAGAGAGAGGAAGGAGGGGAGAGTGAGAGAGAGAGAGGAAGGAGGGGAGAGTGAGAGAGAGAGAGGAAGGAGGGGAGAGTGAGAGAGAGAGAGGAAGGAGGGGAGAGTGAGAGAGAGAGAGGAAGGAGGGGAGAGTGAGAGAGAGAGAGGAAGGAGGGGAGAGTGAGAGAGAGAGAGGAAGGAGGGGAGAGTGAGAGAGAGAGAGGAAGGAGGGGAGAGTGAGAGAGAGAGAGGAAGGAGGGGAGAGTGAGAGAGAGAGAGGAAGGAGGGGAGAGTGAGAGAGAGAGAGGAAGGAGGGGAGAGTGAGAGAGAGAGAGGAAGGAGGGGAGAGTGAGAGAGAGAGAGGAAGGAGGGGAGAGTGAGAGAGAGAGAGGAAGGAGGGGAGAGTGAGAGAGAGAGAGGAAGGAGGGGAGAGTGAGAGAGAGAGAGGAAGGAGGGGAGAGTGAGAGAGAGAGAGGAAGGAGGGGAGAGTGAGAGAGAGAGAGGAAGGAGGGGAGAGAGAAGATGGAGAGAGAGAGAGAGAGAAAGGAAGGGGAGAGTGGGAAACAGACAGACCGACAACCAGATCATCAGACATCGCCATATAAGTCGATTACTTCCAGAACGTAATAATCCGTATTTGCTGCACATTTGCCAATCTGTTTTGCAACGCTTAACTCATAGGCTGAAGAAATAGGGGCGACATTGATGTAAAACGATGCGTCCATATTAACTTTTGACTGGAATTACTGTATAAGTTTTAATAACAAGTTAACACTCTCGTTACGAAATCTTAACATTATAACCCGTAATAGAAATAGTAAAATCCTTTTCTTCAACGTTTTATGAAGATTTTTTGACGTTTGAACCTTTTTATATCATGGTACGGTTTCATTATACAAGTGTAACCTTAATAAATAAAATAATATAATATTGTTCGTGAGATTATAAAGTAATTAACTTCAAAAAGGAATATTTCATTTTAAGAGTATGTACACTTTTACTATGGTTATGCTTACTAAATACGTCTATTTATTTGTAATGGTAGTGACGAGCACCTGCATTAAAATCTATGTCATCAGTGAAATGTTTTCTTTATACATAATTATTTCCTACTTTTATACATGATTGCATACATACATACATATACATTAATACTTACTATATATATACATACATATATATGTATGTGTATATATGTGTGTGCGTATATTGTATGTTTATATGTAAATATACATAAATATATATGTATATGTATATAAATATAAATATATATATATATATATATATATATATATATATATATAATTAATAACATTGTTTTATTCCATTCATTTCACTGGACATTCTTGGTGTGACATGCTGTCTGTTTTATTTTGCTTCTAAATGACCCCCTGTGTGCAAGAACTAGGTTACCATCCACTGGCGGCGAGGGATTTGAACGCAGGTCTGCAAGATGGCTTGACGAGATCGCTACAGCTGCTTCATTATTATTATTATCATTATCATTATTATTAGTAATACTGTGGCAGAAAATAATGCATTTTTTTTTAGAAAATACTTTATTAGTAAACATTCATATTATAATTAATTCCTATTCTCAATGAAACTATTGTTAAATATATTAACGGGATGATTTGTAGAAGTAATAGGCTTATTTCTTTACCACACATTACCCCCCCCCCCCCAAAAAAAAAAAAAAAAAAAAAAAATAGAATTTACTTACTAGTTTTATTTATCTTGCTTATATCAGTTTATCCAATATTTGCTATATGTTCTTTCTTTTGATATCACTTTTAATTTGTACATATTTTTTTATTTCAAAACACTCAATGTTATATACTATTCACAACATTTCTTCTGTAAGACAAAGTAGTTAATCATTCAATGGATAAATTTATCTACACACACACACACACTGGAGGTAAAATACTAGAAAAAATACGCAGAAAGTCATGTTTTGATTTTAATAAGAAAGAAATGCAAATATGTGAGACAATATTGCAAATGAATTATCTCTTGTTTGAACTAAAACAAAATCATCTTAAGGCTGTTGTGTATTATTAATATAATCATTATTCAATCATTACCATTATTATCAATTGTTATATTTTCATCATTATTATCTCTATCTTCCAGCTCTCAACCTCTCTGTCTCTTTTTATTGTTTTTATCCTTATTTTCCTCTTCTTCCTTCGCCCTCTCCTCCTCTTCATCTCCTCTTCCTTCTTTTTATTCTTCCCCCTTTCCTTCTCCATACCCCCCTCCTAATCCTCCTCCACCTTCTTCTTCTTATTATTTTCATTATTATTATCCTATTTTCTTCTTCTTCTCCTCCTCCTTGTTCTGCCTCCTTCTTAATTCTTTGCAAGACATCTAAATCCTCAGGAAATGTTCGAATACGTGGAAAAGTTCTCCAAATACAGTGAGGCAGATTGGTACAGAGCCGCGTACTGATCCTGGAAAGCAATGAATAAATAAATGAAAATTAATCGGATAAATGGTGCAGCGATTTTATTTTCTGGAAATATTATCACAATTGTCTTCATCAGCATTATCATTATCGTCGTCATCATTACTAACGTTACTATTATGCATATGCACACATGCGCACACACACACACATACAAGGCCGGATTATGACCTTTTGGGGCCCCTAGGCTAATGACATTATGGGGCCCCCACAGACGGAGCCACCCTCTAACTCGGCTGCACCCGTCTTGAATATTTTTACTCGTGATATATTTTAGCGACATTTACATAGCTTGAAGTAAACTTATTGCAAATTCTTTAAATAAACTAGTATAGCTAACTTTTGTTTGTCAATAAAAATATTCTTTAAATACCACTATTTTACTATATCTCAACTCAACCGCAGTGAAAAAAAAATTATATATATATAACCAAGGCTGCAGCCTATACTAGCCTATAGGATAATAAGGCCCTGCACACACACACACACAAAGACACACACATACACACACACACACAAGGGCACATACATACACACACACACGTAGAATTTCCGCACAAGCTTACCACAGAGGTGATGAACTGCGGGCGACATCTCAGCAACATCACGGCAGTCCGGTAGATGTCGACACTCTGGTGATTCACAGCTCGTTCCAACACCAACGAGACGGCAGCCACCAGTCCGCACGCCGTGACACCATCGCTGGAAGGGAGGGAGGATGTCGGACTTTTATTGGTGAAAAAATATATAAATAAATTGTCAAATGACTTGTTTTCCAGAGTAGTCTTTCTTGTGTCTGGAAGGTTTCCAAATTGTTTAATGTACTTACAGAGTAAATCATTTCTTTCTCTTCTCTCCTCCTTTCTCCCGCTCTCTCCCCCTATCCCTATCCCTACCCCCCCTCTCTCATTCTCCCCCTCTATCTCCCTCCCTCACTCCCTCCCTCTCCCCCTCCTTCTCCCTCTCCCCCTCCCCCTCCCTCTTTCTCCCTACCCCCCTTGTTGTTTGTGTGTGCAGCTGCAGTTGTGCTCTGTGTGTGCATTTGTGTATATACACGCGCTTGTACACATGCACACGAATGTGCGTTCGTCTTTTTGATCACCCGGGCCTTCCTTCCTCTGCCTCTCCACCAGAATGCAACACGCCCTCACCCGCAGCAGAGGAGCGGAGGCCCCGAGTACGGCCCCCGCGGCACCTGGAAGAGCAGATCGGCCAGGGTGATGGGGACGTCGGCGGAGGGAGGGAGTTCCTGGCCGTACTTCCAGCCTATCACTTGGTAGACGACTACGCTGTACGTCTCATTCTGGAGGGCGAAAAGAGGCCGGATGGGAAAGGTCAGTAAGCGCGAATGTTGGGACGAAAGATGGAAAGGACGTTTGCAACTTACTGAGCGATAATTAACATCACTGTTGCAAAGTCTGATTTATGAATGGAAGAAATAATTTGTAGGATAGATTAATTTAAATAAAATAATAGTAAGAAATAAAATATATAACCACTGTTAAAATATGGTCGTGACGGATACACATACATTGTTTATAAAGAACTTCATCTAACATTTTGTCAGAAGCATAACTCAAGGGGGTAAACTTTGTCTGATATGAATGATATCGATTTATAATCTACATGTAAGCTGCAAGGAAGATGCCAACATATCTGAATATTACGAAAAAAAAACAAAGAAAAAAAATAACAATAATAATAATAATAACCGGTCCACGTGAAACGCTGATTAATGTTGGCATTCTTAACTACCGCAAGGACGTACCTGTGGGTTGGTAATAGTTACGCGGGCTTGTAAGAGAGACTGGGAATAAGGTTGGATAGAGTGGGTAAGAACTCGATGATGCCCGAAGGTCCACTCCTCCTCCTGGTCTGGCAACACTGCTGGGAACTCGTCCTGGTGAGACACGAATATCTTTTCCTTACAAGATTCATGGGGCTGCGGTCTTATATCTTATTATACTGTATTTCTTAAAGGATTCATGGTATTGTTATATATATATATATATATATATATATATATATATATATATATATATATATATATATATATTTTTTTTTTTTTTTTTTTTTTTTTATTTTTTTGAAGAGTCAAAATGCTTAACTATTTTTTGTGATGAAAAAGGGTACTTCATTGCCAGAAAAGAATAATAAATATAAGCATTTATTTTATTCTCTCTACATGGTTACTAATTGTCTAGGGTGATAACCGTAATGACAGGTTTCCTGAGGAAAAATATACAATAATAACCAATAGGAAGAAACAACAAAAAACAATAATAAGAGCAACTGACAGGAATAGTAACAACAATCTGACTTACCTTGTCCGAGAACTCATTGAGAAACACCACCACGGGACAGAATCTCTCGAGCACCAGGCGCCAGAACCTCTCCGAAGTCGAGGCCAACGGGTGTTCAGTGATCATGAAGGCCTCCTTGTTGGTAAGCCCGGTCACTCTGATGGCGTTGATGTAGTGAGATTCGTGGACTCCGTCTTGGGCAGTGAGGCAGATCCTCCAGGTGTCCGAGGGAAAAGCTGCGTGGTTCCGTGTGAGGGCAGACACATCTTGTTGTTCAGCTACCCTGTACGTGAGCGCTGAAGGAAGGGCCTTGAGCTTCCTGTACTGGTTAGGACACTCGAGTAGAAGGCGCGGCGCCTCTTCGAGGAGACTGGCCAACTGCACGTTCGTACTGGTGCCGAACAAAATCTCGTCGAGTATCTGAAGCGCGAGACTGTACTGCGCGAACGATTCGACGAGACGCGCCCTGCTGTCCCTGAGGAGGGCCAGGGCCTCAACGGGGTCCATGGAGTCGCCTAGGTCCAGGCTGTCGAGCAGGAGAAGCACCAGCAGCACCGTCCCCGTGCGCCCAATGCCGGCCGAACAGTGCACGACCGCCACGCCTGTGCAATCACCGCGAATTCATTTAGTTCCCGAGAATGCATCAGTCACAGGGAAAACAATCAATAAACAAACGAACGATACTTGTAAAAAAAAGAATCACATGACCTGCTTTCCATATTCCCCCGACTCTGAAACACGTTTTTTTCCACAGCAGAATCATACCAGTATTAAACAAAACGAAACACTATGAAGCACCATAACAAAATAAAAACACCGTAATAATAATAATAATAAAAAACTCACCGTGTGTCTGACTAGCTCTGAAGTGTCTCATCATTGAAGCTAGAGACAGTGCCTCCCCTGGAACGCCATGGTCAGGCCAGCTCATGAACTGATAGTGCCAAAGTTCCCGCCGCTGACCGTTGCGAGTCACCTGAAAGAGGAGACATCAAGCCATTTTTATTTTTTTCTCCTACTCTTATATCAGTCGTTACTCTTGTCTAATACACTTTGTGAATCCTTACATATGGAGCCAATGTCGCAAAGACTAACACTAACTTACCAGGCAAACTTTTGTCAATGCGAAATGGGGCAAATTTTCCTTGCTCACAATACTGACTGACATTTCTTCAGTTTCGACGATCGAGCCAAAGCGTAGGTACTCTGCCACTTTCGGCTGTAACAGTTTAATAGCAATTAATTACGCAAGGTTAGCACACACACAAATGCATTATGTAAGTGTGCGTAAGTGATATTGTGTGATTGTGTGTGAATTTCTATGAGAGTTTGCGTGCGGATGCATGTGTGTGTGTGTGTGGGTGCATTTATGTATGCATGTGTATTATCACTGACATGATCTCTCTCTCTCTCTCTCTCTCTCTCTCTCTCTCTCTCTCTATCTCTCTCTCTCTCATTCTCTCTCTCTCTCTTTCTTCCTCTCTCTCTATTTATTCAACTTCTATTTCATCTCACCTTCCCGTTTTCAATGAAGTTAGCAACCATGATTATGGCAGATACGTTTTGCTCCCACACCATCCTCCAGAAGTCCCCTACTGTGTCGAGTTTTTCTGCCTTGGGACCCTGGGTAGCGATGTAATGCATTTTCTGTCCATAGCCCTATAAAGAAAATAGAAAAAGAAAGAAAAGAAATGAAAAAAAAGAAGAGAAGGGCAATAGAAAATGGATATTTCCGACCGACGGACTACATTATATATATATATATATATATATATATATATATATATATATATATATATATATATATATATATATATATACACTTTTTTTCTGATGGTTGGCTCTGGTAAAATTAAATGCCAAATGAATAAGTTTGTTTCGAAGGAAATCAAGAAAAATACAAAAGAAATGGATGTGTGAGTCTATATTTTCTTATAGTGAAAACAAAACATATATATATATATATATATATATATATATATATATATATATATATATATATATATAATCTCTTCGTTTATTTTCTTTGACATATTGCTAATACTATTTTCCTACGTAATAATAAATGGTTTCCAGTCGCTTACCCTAATATGATTGGCATTGATGTAATCTGAATGCGGCACGCCATTCTTCAGTGTCAATTTCACCCTTGTGTCGTCATCTGTAAGGTCGAATTTCGCTTAAATGTCGCCAAAACTGTCGCTTATGGCACTTACACAAATCATAAAAGAAAGTAGAAGCATTTTTAATTATCTCTTTTAAGCACTTTATAACGCGCGCCATTTAAGACATCCGCCAATTCAGTTATTCACATAAATAACTATAAATCTGATACTTTACAAGTCCACATAAACTATAAACAATTTTACAAATCACTTGCAAAGCCTGTCGTTGCAAAAAATCATATAAAGAACAATGAACATTTTAAAAAATCACTTACAACCCTTATTATTAACATTTTTGAAAATTACGTATAATTCTCTGTTGCAATAATCCATGTGACTGATCAACATCACTTGCAAACCCCGCCATTGCACTAATTAAAAAACATTAAAAAATTTTCATCCCCTTGCGGTGAATTATATAAGATTATGAACAGCTTTTGAATAATGTCATTTGAATACTTCACATGAATATAATAATAATGATAAAAAATAATAATAATAATAATAATTATTATTATTATTATTATTATTATTGATGATAATAATAATGATAGTGATAATAATAATAACAATAATAATAATAATAATAATGATAATAATAATGATGATTAATAATAATAATAATAATAATAATAACAATAATAATAATAATGATAATCATAATAATAATAATAATAATAATAATAATAATAATAATAACAATAATGATTGATAACAATAACAATAATGATTAATAATAATTAATAATGACAATAATCAATAATAATAATAAACAATTTAAAAAATGACTCACAAGGTAAGTTGTTCCGGTAACGATTTTTCTTCTTATTTTCAGGTAGGTTGCCAACGTCCATTTTCCTGCCGGTGTTTTCGGGTACGGCCTTGAGAGAAAGAAAATGGGGAACTTTTTTATGTGACGATGGTGATGGTGGTGGTGGTGATGATGGTGGTGATAATGATAGTGGTGGTGATGATGGTGATAATGATGGTAATGGTGATGATGGTGGTGATGTTGATAATGATAATGGTGGTGGTGATGTTGATAATGATAATGGTGGTGATGATAATGGTGATGATGGTGGTGGTGGTAATGGTGATGATTATAATGATGGTGATGATGGTAATGATGATGGTGATGGTTTCTATTATGTTAAAGGTGATGATGGTTATGATCATGATAATAATTATTGTTATTATTATGATGATGATAATGATGGTTGATGATGGTGATGATGACGACGATGGCGATGATGATGATGATAA